ACTGCACCTTTAATAATTTCGTGGGCGGGGGTTTTGTTTCCATTTTTTTATTTTGTCGATGTCAGCAGTTGCTGCCCTCGGCAAAACCACTTATCTCAACCTATGCCAAGAACTGACCATGAATTATTGTGCTGTTCAAGTATTGTGTTAATTTTCCTCAAATAAAATGAGGTCAGCCACCTTTGAAAGATTAACCACTGGTAATAAAAATTTTATTACCAATTAGTTTTACAGCTTATAAAAATAAAGCAGGTGCCAATGTCTCGTAGTTGTGTAACCTTGTGATAATTCCGGTGGAGATTTTGTGTGACTTGTGCACAAACCCTCCTCTGTCTGAGTCACTTTGATAGCAGCCTGCAGCGCTTTGCTGGAGACGTGAACGGCCTTGAGGGGTGGGGAGCATGAGGTGAGTAGAAGAAGAACAGTGGTGCTGTCTTTGAAGGCTCTATGGATCTGCTTGTTTCCAACAAACCCTCTGTTTAATCAAGCTCGTCTCTACAGCCTGAAGTTAAAACCAAGGCTAGCAAATATGTGGACTGACATAAAACAGGAGCAAAGAAAAAGAGAGAGAGAGGGGAATATTGTTTGCTAAAGAAAACAACCAATCATGTGCTGTGTTCTTCAAATTATACAGTTTATCACTGAATAAAAAGAAGTTTTCATTCAGTCGAATTGGAGTCACCCTGTGAAGAAAAATTCTCTGCAGCAGCAAAGCTTTGAAAAAAACTTTTTCGCGTGTCAGTAGCAACTTACTTCTGCTGGGGGAAATTTGTGATCATTTTTCTTTTTGCAACACACCTTCACTTTAAAACATGCCACATGTTTTCAATTGGATTTAGGTCTGGCCGTTGAGTAGGTTTGATCAAAATCATTTCATTGTAGGTGTAGGGTCATTATCCTGATGGCAGGTGAAACTCATCCTCTGAGCTCTGGGTGGGGCTGGGCAAAGTGGCTTAAAAATAAAATCAGATTTTTGCTTGTGTTTTTCATTTTTTGAACAAATAACATTTTTTATCCTCACTTTTTTTTTTCTCTTAAAGAAAATTACAAATGAAAAAACAATTACTTTTGTGAGCAGACCTGAATTCAAAGTCAAATAGAAGCTGTCAAACATTTCGTCAGAGAAGGTGGTAGTTCTTGGGCAGGTCAACATCACTCTGGAACTCCAAGAAGTGCATTAGTGAGACCATCCAGATTCCCCGCAAAGTAGATCTTTAAAACCAAAAAAATGGATTAATTGATCAAATCGAAGAATTGGGAGCTGTTGAAAGCTTTAAACTTCTCCAGAACCTTCTCCCTGTCCAGTCTGCTGGGTTTCTCAGGCCTCATGATGCTATCAGGTCAGTAATGTTCTCTAAACAGAACCAACACATTTTTACTGAGATTCAATTACATCGACTATACCTCCTTCACATCACACTCATTGTACTCTTTGTGTTGATCTTGACATAAAATAATAATACAAATGTTTTATGAATAACAGGATAAAATGTGAAAAAAATCACAGAGTGTGAAAACTTGTGAGCTAGGATTGTCAAGTGCTGGTTTCAGCAATCTTGACAACTTGTAACACAGACATTTGCTTGTTGAACTATGGATAGAACATTACAGATAATAAAACCCTGAATGTAAAAACATCTTTTGACTAAAGTCTGAAAGTGTCCAACCACTTTAAGACTGCAGAGATAAACCTGCTTGTCTCTGCAGGGACACCAATGCCTACCTCCAGCGGCCAGTGGAAGAGATGTACAGTCTGGACTGACACACTCACTCATGCCTAGGGGTAATTTAGACTAAGCGGTTAACCTGGCAGGCGTATTTTTGGACTGTGGGAGAGTACCTGGAGAGAACCCACACATCCACAGGCAGAACATGCCAACTCCTTGCTGAAAGACTCCAGGATGAATTTGGACCTCCGTGCAGACCTGCTCTGAGCATGTCAAATAAAAACTTTAGTCACTGCTAAGCCAAGAAGCAATCAATCAATTAATTATTTGATCAATTAAAAAAAGTATGATCATTTCCATTCTGATGATTAATATTTTTTGAAGAGCAAATTAGCTTACAGAAACTTAATAATCAATTTTATTTATGGATTTGGTTATGTGCAGATTTTCATTCCCTTTCTGTAATTGGTATTGGTTGTTGTGTTTTATTTTGGATATTTAAAATATCTTCCAGTTCCAGTGTTAAGTGCTCTTTAATAAAATTTAAGTTTATTGGTCATTGAGCAGGCAATTTTGCCATTATCAATATGGGAATTGAAAATGGTCTCAAAACAACATATTATCATTTATCGCAATACTTTCTGGGACAATTTATCGTCCAGAAAAGCTTGTTATCGTGACAGGCGTAGTCACAACGATGCCGAGTGTTTCTAAAAGTGTGAAGAGTACATTTGTAAAGTTTAAAAGTATGTAATTATACTTTCAAATGCCTTTAATCATGAAAGTATGATTAAAAGCACAGAAGTACCGGGAAGAGGCCCTTCAACGTTCTCAATGCGCGTTTCAGACATAACATGACCCTGAATGTGAGATATGATGAGATACTCCTTCTAATAACCAACTCTTGAGTCACTTTGTGAGACAGATACCGAACCACATGTTCAGCTTATATTATCTCACTCCATGCAAGTGATAGTCAAACAATGCATTGTGTCTGAATGTGATTTTTCTCAGCACTGGAAATCAGAATCCTGCTGAGTCTCAGATCAGAAACAAGATGCTTTCCATCACGGACAATGGATGCTGAAATACCTCTTTTACAAGGCAACAACATTCAGGGGCCCAATAAGTCTTCTCTTTGGGTGAGGTTTGTCACCATATGCTTAAAGCTTTTCCTGTGTGGGGGTACTGCAGGAATATGGGCTGTCAGAATCCTTAAAGAAGGGCCATTTGGTCCCTAAACCTGGTGATGAGACACTTTTGCCCTTAGGGAGAAACAGAGTTGCCACTTCTCTCAGTCAAAGGGAGACAGTTAAGCTGGTTTGGGCTTCTGGTTGGGATGGTTTCTGGATGCCTTCTTAGGGAGGTATTGCAGTTGACCAGATTAAGTCACATGGGTAGTGGAAAGCCTTGGACGGCCCACATGAGTTGGAGGGGAAGCTAGGAAGAGGGATATATGTAGATCTTTGCTGAAGTGTTTAAAAGGGGGCCATTTGTAAAGTTACCCAGTCAAAATTAACAGAAATAATTTGGGAAGACAAAAACAATGAGGGTTAATTTCTCAAAGACATATTTTCATCATTTGTTTATAAATGTCACAGTTTCAGCTAAATGTGTAGTTGTTCATACTTGCTTATTTAATATTATGCTCACAAAGTAAATGTTTACTTTGAAACTGTGACATTTATAAATTAATTTATAAATTTCAGTGATTTGTCGGCTGAAACTCATAAAGTATCTGTGAAATCTGTGAATACTCAAGACCCTCTCTAAAAACATGCATAGCTGCCTATTTTAGTTGTTCAGACACAAAATATACTTCAATGTGCTTTAATATGTGCAGTGGAAACTATCGTAGCAGAAGCTAACATGTAGTTTTCCTTGTTTCTATTCTTGGGCTTACAGCCACAGAAAATGAACCATTTCTGGGTTGGCTGCTTCACAAACACCAGTCAATTTGGTGAGAGATTAAAAGGGAAACTATGAGAGAAGATGCTTTATCACTCATGTGATTTTGTGATTTTTAAACCACTTTTTGACCTTCTATTTGATAAGTGAAACCATGTGGCTCAGCTGGATGATGTCATAACATAGGTAATCTAAAACAAAACAAGAAAAACAAAAACAAAACATTGATGCGTGTTTTAAGAACAATGTGAGGCTCGGATCACTCTCACAATACAACTTTAAATAAATGGAGTCAAACGTCTCTCGCTGCAGCTTTTCACATCAACATTTGTGAGTATGTTACATGACTTTTCAATAAAAGCCATTATTTATGGACTGTAGAGCAGCAAGTGTCAGCAAATATTGAGCAATTCAGACAGTGGTTGGACTAAATGTATCATAAGAACAAGCTTCCATGACTGAACCAAAAGTAACCATTTTGCTTAAAAACTAAGCGCTTAACTATCATTGGGAGAAAAAAAGAGAAAAGTTTGGTTAAATTGGTAAACTGATCCAATGATTTATGGATATTTTTTTAGGTAAAAATCCATAAATCTCAGGAGGTCAAAAATCATATCCACATTCCTAGAATCTTTTCACATTTTACCATGTTATCATCTCAAACTTTAATGCTTTAACAAATTTGGAAAGTACAACATACATTTGTCAACACGCACACTAAGCAAAACAGAAGACAACACTTCAGCTCCACCTCACCTATGTGGTAGAACACGGAGGTGGCAGGTTAATGCTGTGGGATGCTTCCCTTCAGCAGGGACAGAGCCGAGATAGAATTTAGATGGAAGCATGTTGGAATAACCTCGCCAAAGTCCAGAGTTATATGTTTTAGTTCAATCTTAAATGACTTGTGACAAGACTTGACGTCGACAGACACTGACCGTCCAATCTGGACCAGGGCTACAGAGACATTCCCCAAAACTACAGCCAAAAGACTGACAAGAGGAAAAGTTGAAGAGTTTAGGGTGTTTTTCTATCACTTACTTTTTGGAGGAATAAAAAAGAATCTCTCTCCGAGTTCAATGACTCTGGCAGGAAAATGTCCAAAGTATTTCCAAAAGTCCAAGGCTGGAAACTGGACCCGTCCTCGGTTGTGTTTAAAAAGTATTCCGTTCAGCTCCGAGCTCTTACCTACAAGCTCATTGTTGAATAAGAAGCAGCAGCTGACACACCGGGTTGGCAGTGAAACTTCTCCCGCTCCTCCACACACACACACACGCACACACACGCACACACACTTTTGTCCAATGTTTTGAATAAGAAAAAGGCGCAGGAAACGGGAAAACAACCACTTTTCTTGCGACCTGACCCTTCAATGTCCACTCCCGCATCACATTCACCGGACTCTGTCCTCACACAGCCGCTTACCTCCCGCTCAGTCCCGCATGATTCGTCACGCCACGTCCTGCTTACAGCGCGTCTCCGTCCAGCGGTTCACTTCAGTCCATCCAGCGAGCCGTCTCCTCCCGGAGCAGAGCACGCGCTTCCCGGGCTGTCAGTGAGTAAGTAAGCACCTGAACGGACGTCAGGCAGCATCGTCACGCGCCCACACACAGAGGAACGCGCAGGGTGAGACAAATAAAGGAAAATGAATTTAGACAACGGCAGAGCAGCGCAGCACCACTGTCTGGTAAAAACAAACAAACAAACAAACAATTAAAAAATAAAATATAAAGTTTACGAATCCTTATTGAAAATGTTCATTTAATTTAAGTTACGTTTTCAACAGGTATTCAAACTATGAGAGCACAAACAGTTTAAAGACAGACGCAGGACAGGTACAACACTGACCCCAGGTGGACACAGTTGAAAGTGCAACTTTTCTGAAAATCTGTTTTTTAAAAATACATTTAGTTCATTTATATACCTAATAATGACGTATCCGGTATTTCGATTTATAACCTTTGTGTAAAGTATAAATTGGAGATTTTACTACCTCTTTAGGAACCATTAATGAGAACAAAAGCGTGTATTTAGTTTAAATGTATTACATTGAAATACAATCCCCTTTTTGTTTCATGCTTTAACAGAATATATATATGCATATATATATTTAAGATTTGGCTTGATTTCTTTACCCCTGTAATATTTAAATATCAAAAACAATGCACTTCTGACTTGATGTTTTTGGCCCTTTGAACGAAATGTTTGGACTCCCTGACGTCACACAAGCTTCTTGTGTCACAGTTTGACCAGCAGAGGGCGCCCAAACTCCTCTTGTAGCTGGGCTCTCAAACATGGTTAAGTTGTTTACTGAATTGCTCTATTTCAAAAATAAAAATCCAGAATCAGGCAGATCATGATAAAACTAATGTTCCAAAACCTTAGAACAGTAATAACCAGACTGAGTTCAATAAAACAGGTGAAGATCAGCGGCTCCGCAATTTCATTTATTTTTTTTGTCTTTTCCTCCTCCTTCTCTGAATTTCTTTTTTCAGACTACGTGTTACTTTAAGCTTACAGAATCTGCTATCATATTCAAAGAAACCTGAAAATATTAAACTGGCAATTACACCAGAAAATGAGAAAACAACACAATAAATCTAATTGATTATTTTCAGTTTGGACAAATTTCTCTTGCAATTCTGTCATTCTTCTTCAACCTTTGTTTCTAAATTTTATTGTGTTTAATTTGTAAAATATATTTGTATTGGTATAAAGTTGATCTTCGACTTAGCAGGCTTTTGAAAGTCCCGGCTTACCTTTTTTTTACTATTATTTTATTTCATTTTAATAGTTGCTGGTTGAAATTTTGTGAAATGATATAATTCATGTTATTTTGTAGACGAAAACCCTTTTTCATTTTGTTTGGAAGTAAAATAAAGCTGGGCAGTGAGTGGAGGATAAATCTTTCCAATAAGACTGTAGCATTGGCTGATTCTGGGCCCCTGATTCTGTTGACCCTTGATTTCTGACATCTGTAATTAATTTTTTTTTCCCCAAATAAAATTTCTGTCACCTATATTTTTACATCCTTTTATTTATTCTCCACAGCTCCCTGTTTGTTCTAGGATGAGTCTGTGTTGATGTTATCACAATAGAGCATAGATTCAGATTAAGTTCAGATTTTTTGCTTAAGGTTTATTTGCCCAAACTTGAACTTCTCCCAGTCAGTCCTCTGCTCTGTGTTCCTCTGACGTTTTCCTCTCCTGTTCTTCCTCTCACATCCATCAAACCGTCTGCTCACTCACCAGTGCTTTCTGTTTCTGTCTTCACCTGGAAGGACTCCCAGCAGCTCCAGCTGTGGGTTTGCTCACTCAGTCCCTTGTATCAAACAAGATGAGCCGAAACAAAAAGGAAGAAAAGAAAAAGGTGAATAAAAGCAGCGTTGCTAAGCCAGACCAGCTGGCTTTGGAGTGCGGGGCAGCCCGAGCTGGGCAGCGTTTGGGTCTGACTTTTCTGCAAAGTGAGCAGCTGAGGTAGTCCACAGTCCAACACCCCCACTCCATGCCCTCCGACACATACACACAAACACTATCAGACACACACACATTCACACACCCTGTGACCTCCTGCGTCCAGCTCAGTGCATGTCTGTGGAAGAGCGCGCTCACCTGTTGCTGTCACTTGCAATATATTTAGCTGTGAAGTGTCACTGAAGCAGTGTGGCCATGTGTGTGTGTGTGTGTGGGTGTGCATGTGTGTGTGTGGAGGAGAGAAAAATGTGTTGCTGACACTCTGGGGCCCTCTGTGGTCTTGGTGCGAGAGTCCAGGATTACTGCTTCTACACTGTAAATCATAACTTTGTGTTTAATTGAAAACAGATGAGTGAATCTGAGGTTTAACTAAGACTCAGTTAAACTAAGTCTAGTGAACTCTTAGCTGTGTAGTAAATTACAAAGTTGACATTGATTAAATGAATTGAGTGGTTTAACTCTTTTTAATACTAAGTACTTGGTTTAAGCATTGAGGTAAAAAGGTTTTTAAAATGAACTTATTTCATTTGCAGTCATGTGAAAGGGTGACATGAGGATTTGTCTGGAAGGTATCCCATAGTGCATTATGCTACCACCAACAGCAACTAATTTAACTAATATTTTATTTGTCACAAAACTTAGTTTTAAGATGTCTAAGGTAAAAATGTCGACTCCAAAGCTTCATATGCAGTCAGTTCATCCACAGTGAGCCGTTTTCAGAGCAGTGCAGCTTCCACTGCCTAAGTTTGAATACATTAAACAGCATCATGAGATCATGAGATGCTGTTTAATGTGTTCATTTTCATCACCACCTGGCTCTAGGTGAGGGTGCAGCTTTGCATAATAATTATGGTTGTTTTACTGAGAGAAAAAGTGAGCAAACCATCACTGCTTCTTGTGTTTTCTGTTCACTTTTCAGTAGAGAAACAAATAAGAAGCAGGAACTAAGAACTGTTTCAATCAAGTTATAAAAAAAATGGACTTCAGAAAGCTTTTTTTTGTATTTATATGTACAAAAAAAACGTAATTGTTTTAACAACTAAAAAAATCCTCAGGTTAACTAAGTTAATTTAAGTTAAAGTGACTAAAATTGCACAGTTTTGTCAGCTAATTTAGTGAAAGCAAACAAAAAGGAGGCAACGAGTTTGTATATACTTTTTTAAGTAAGGAGAACTCCTGAGGTTTTACAGTGGACATGTTACACACAGACTGAGCCTGCTAGCATGTCAGAGGTATCGGCGCTCTGAGCATCTGCTAGCCGGAGGATTACGCTCAGCTGTCCCGTCCTGTCAGGCCCGGCAGACGGAAAGAAGGAGGCAGGCGGACGGATCGGCTGACTCTGACGGTCTGATTCCAGAATACGTTCAGAGACTTATTTGTAAAGATGAGAAAAAAAAAAACTTTAAATAATCACATTTTTCCACACCAAAAAAAAAAAAAAAAAAAAAAAAAAAAGTAGAGAAATCCGGTCTTCAGTCGGAGTTTCTTATTTCATTTTGGGTGGAAACTTTATCGGCCTTTGTCAGAATTTTTGGTTTCCCCATTCAGTCCATTAAAACGTCTTAGCTGTCCTGAGGACGCCGGTGTCCGCTGACTAAAATATTGTCCATTTAAGTTGTTAAATATGCAACACAAGCCATCTGAGTACATTATAAAATGCCATTTAAGGAAACCTCAGATTTTAACCTCAAGGTCAAAAAGGACAGCAGACCAGCTGTTTTTCCTGGACGTTTGTTGTTGACTGTCGCCCCATGCTTGCTCATTCTGCTTAAGCCTTCCGCATCTTTTTTCATGAAAAGAATAATCTGCCATGGCATTTCAGTTGCATTATTTTGGACTTTTCAATATTGAATTAGTAAAGAGCATTCTCAAGGTTTTTGTCTTTTTAAATGAAACAGTCCCACAGCATCACAGATCCTCCACTGTACATCTTGATGTCAGGCGTTGTCCCCACCTGTTTAGCCACATTCTTTGGAGAGTTTGTTACTGAAAAGCTCAATATTTTTCCATCACAGAGTGAAACTCAATTATTTATATATTTTTTATTGTAGGAATGAACAATTTTTTTTCCAAACAACCTGCTGACATGTAGATAGCGTCGAGTGGAAAAGTCTCAGTCTGTACAGCAAATTTCCAACAGTGAACTTTGGAGATTTTCTACTTTCTCTTCTTGTTTCTTGTCTTGTTCTGCCCCTGCGTCTCACAGTTCCTGTTGCTTTCAACAGAACAGCCCGGTTCAGATATGTATGTCAGATTTTAGTCTAGACTTTGACTTTTTGAGAAATTTCTGAATCTCCTTTGGATTTTCAGCAAGCGAGCTAAATTCATCCTTCCATCGGTTACACACTGCAAAAGCACAAAATCCTCCTGAGTCATTTCCAGTTCTACTTATAAATATCTTAGCACACTTCAAACAGACAAAACTAACTTGCAAGTAACTATCAAGCAAGATGAATTCCATAACTTCTTTATATTGATTAAAAATGATGTGTCCCGTTTTTAAATGATTTCACTTAGAGCGTGAGAAAAATGTCTTGAAGTGAAACGCATTGCAAATGCAGGTAGTAATTTTGATCAACATAAAAAAATTATTGACTTAAAACAAGCTCCTTTATCCCACTGGAGATATGAGTGATTTAGTTTTTATCTCCTTTCAAGACATTTGCAATAGAAACTAGTCCAGCCTCTTTCTAGCCGTTAGTCAGTGACATCTGGGAGGTTTTGATGTTGCTCTGGGTTTTTTGGGAACTCCTCAATAAGTTGTCGATGATTTCTTGGTTCCCCATTGTGGACAGTGGTTCACTGGAGCCCCACAACCTTAGAAATGTAACTTTCTCCAGACTGATAGTTGACTTTGTTTCTGATTTGTTTCTTTTTTTTTTGTTGTTTTGTTGAGTGATTCCACTTTATTTTATCAAGTAGCTTTTTTCTAACAGTTCCATCAGGCTGGCGGTAGGCTGTGAAACTAGACTCAGCTTTCCAAATAATAGGTGGCTGTTCACAGTTAATTCATAGTCCAACAAGAACAGAAATGACTTCACTATACAAATCTTGAATAACTTTTCCCCTTCACTGCAAAAACACAAAATCCTGCCAAGTAATTTTGGTTTAGTTTCATTTGCAAATAATTGAAATAAGACAAAACTAACTTCCAAGTCACTTTTCAGCAAGATGTACATGGAAGTTAGTTTTGATTTATTTTAAATCTCCTGGGAAATTTGCACAAGAAGCAAGACCAAAATTACGTGGCGATATTTTGTGTTTTTTGCAGTGCTCACCTCATCTTCGTCTGACGGAAAAGTGAGGTTAATGACAGAAAAGCTCCAAAAAGAAGAAACGTGTGTTTTTCCATTGTGACCCCTGCCTCATTTGCTTTATGATTCCAACAATAAAACATGGCAGAAGGAACACAATATGTTACGGAAAGGTTTTGTGTTTATTGAGAGGGCCCAGTGCTTTATAGTGCAGGCTGAGTGAAGCTTGCATATCCCAGAGATAGAGTTACTGTGAAAGCCATGACCGAGTGTAAACCAATCCTGCCTCACCCAACTGCCAGGGATGTTCCACAATCCAGCGCATGTCTCGAGGCATTTCCTCTCCATGTCCATCTGCTGGCCTCACAGACCCTCTGATCATGCTTACTGCAGGCTTTAAATCTTATACTACTCCAGGTACGTTTTGAAAAAAAAAACATTCTTATGTACTCTTTTGTTTTTAGCTGTAGGTACAATGCCAAGAGAATTCAAGGGTAAATTAAAGCCCACAGGGTGATAACAGTCCATCGGTTTCCATAGTTGCGTCTCCATTACAAATGTGCTCACAACTTTATTGATGTTCTGCTAACGTCGCAAAGACACAATTTTGCAATTGCGGCGCTTCCATCAAACAAGAAATGCAATTGAAATCACACATGAATAAGTTGCTTCATGCGACAAGTCATTAAAAACGTACCAGTCCATCATCATCCTCCTGTCATCTTCTTGACAACAGTAACATCTGGCTGCTCATCATGTGACTTGTGTGCTGCCAAAAAGTGTTTTCTATCGCAGGTTGGCAAAATACCTGCAAACCACCTGACCCTAGCACAAAAACATATCAAAAAACGTGAGTTTCTTTTCAAAATTGCCATGTTTCTATTAAGCAAATTTATTGTACTTCTAATTTGCATAATTTTATGGTTAAGAGTCACTTGGAATACCTGGTTTTATTGCCATTCTCTCACAGAGTTGCTGCTAAGCTTGCCCTTATTGTCCCCACTTGCTGGATCTTACTTGGACCAAGCTGCAGCTGTCGGACATATGGCCCCAAATGTATCCAAAGTATTCTTTGATCAGAATTCATGCAGAAGCAACATGGTCACAATGCCCAGCGAGGATGTCCTGGATTCAAATCTCCATTAAATGTCAACTTTGTTCTTCCTCTGCATGCATGGATACTTTCTGCTCTCTGGTTTTTGTTCCACAGTGTCAAACTGCTGGGAGAACGTACGCTGCACGTAAAGATCAAATATGATCATGAACGGTTGAATCTTAAACATGTTGACTCTGGAACAGTGATGAACGTTCCTACTGGCCTATCAGTGGACAGGTCAGAACAGAACAACATCTAAACCTTAGTTAATGTTAGTGTTCATGGTTCAACAATAAGACAGATAACCTGAACCAGAGAGCTCCAAGGTGACACACAGTAGCTGCTAATTCAAATGAGCGTGAAGCTCTGTCTCACACTAAACCAGGAAACACCAAGAATATCCTCATTTCACTACATTTGCTGGAAAACTGCCTGTGTATTTCAGAAAAGCGGTGACAGCAAAGTGATTGGCTGGCTCTGCTGCGTTGCTCTTTGTGAGAACCCCTGGAATCTGCTCCCTTGAAGGAAAGAGAAGAGAGTCTGGTCATCAATCTGCAACCTCAACACTGCAAAAAAACAAATTCTTACCAAATAATTTTTGTGTAGTTTCTAATGCAAATATCTTAATACACTTGAAATAAAATTAATTTG